ATATAGAGAGAAGGATGATGCTGAGACGTGGCGCAGACAACGAATCATGTGGAGAGAGGAGAAAGAAAGAGGGAGAGGGGGTGGGGAGAGGGAAAGCAAGTCTGACAGATCAGGGATGGGCACATGATCAGTGCAGGGCTAAGCAGAGCCCTCCTTGGGACTTTTACTGACATTCCTGGGAAAGATGTGCCCTCTTTCAATGGGATTATGAACTGTAAGGACAATGTCCTCTGATGTTACCAGCAGCCACCTTGTCTTTCCTGTGGAAACCCTGATAAACACAGTGGCCTAAGCCCTCCCCTCACTCCTGTCTCCTGCCTCCTGAGCAGCCTGGTGCTCTTCCACGTGGCCCTATGTGGCATGCACACCTCCTGTCTCTAGGACCTGTGAGGCTAACATCATTTGTTTTCCTGAGCCTCTCCTGGGCCTCCCTTTGTGGCTCCACCTGGCTGACCATCTCATAAAAGAACACAAAACAACTTCCCAATCACATAGATTAGTAAATTCTCTTTTTGGCTTAAGCTAGTTTGAATAGGGTGTCTGCTATGGATTTCTGAAATGGTTCTGAGTAATACAAGAAACTCATAAAATCTAAAAATGTACAGCTACTAACCTTCAGCCACCTCAACTACAGCAACAGAATGAACATGGGTTGTGAAGATGAAAGCTAACAGGTCCACTGGTGCAAATTTTTCTTATGCCTCCATTTCCTCTGAAACTGGTTATTACTGGCAAGTTTTTAGAGTAGCTCAGCTGCCCCACTGTTTAATTTCTACATCTCATAAATTCGGGGAGTCATGGGATTAAAATTCTAGGTTAGATCTGACTTGACCAAATTGTGAGGTATTGATGTAATAAAAAAACTTTTGTATTTTAAGTTCCCCATTCTTTATTTAAGACTCCCTTGAGCTAAACATGGTTTCCATTTCGGGTGACTTGAAAGAGGGAGGCAAAGATATTCTCACATGTCATTTTCAAGGACTACTTTGACTTCCGATTCAATATAATTCTTTCTAAGTCTGATAGAACTGGGTTTTCTATCTCCTATTTCTGCTCTTGGGAAAACTTTATAAGTAGTGAGCTCTTAATCACAAGATGAAGATAATGATTTGTACGCACCCCTGCCCCCAATATATGAAAGAAACCATGATGAATAAATCAGCAAACATCCGAGTGAGCTGAAGAAATTTGATATTTTTAATGGTATCCAATGCTTATTGGTTATAAAGACCTGTGTCCTTGCCCAGCTGGCATGGCTCAGCAGTTGAGCATCGACCTATGATCCAGGAGATTGCGGTCCAATTCCCGGTAGATCCCCAGTGGCGGGAATGACTCTTTCATCATTGATGTTTCTATCTCTCTCTCCCTGTCCCTTCCTCTCTCTGAAATCAATGAAGACATATTTTTTAAAAATGAAAAAAAAGAAGGACCTGTGTCCTGGGTCCCTTTTCACCTTTTGCTATGGTACCAGCAGTATTGCCATGTTTATAATTGCTAACCAGGTCTTAAATTTTGGAAACATCTTTCATTTTTGAACTATGATTTGAATAATTAGAGAAATTATAAATCTGAGTGAGACTGGGGGTACTTAGAGCTGAAGGAAGGAGGGTCTTGATGTAGGATGTAAAGATGTTTGCTCTAGAAGAAGATGGGGAGAGTAATGCCAACCATTTTAGCTGTAGCTCTGAGGGTGTTTGTCTTGAAGAGAAGTAGAGAAAGCAAAAAAGAGATAACTATGCACACATAGAGAACTGTAGAGAATCCCAGAAAGTCATGGGATTTATCAGAGTAATATTTTTTTTACCAGGAAAACTTAAAATAAATATTTAATATCTGACTCATCTCAGGAACTGAAGGAGCCACATCTATGTGTGTGACTTTTTGCTTTTCCTATAAAGGATGATCCCTAATATTACTTTGGAACCCAGCTTTAATAAACATGAAGTGGTTTCTCCCTGATTTGTGATGCAAATGGGTGATTAATCCAAGCTAGGTAAATAGGGAGATAAGTGAGCAGAAATACCCACGCTGCTAGACTTTACATATGCACATTTCATACCAGACCCAGTAGACACTTAAGCCTGCCCATCAGAACAGATATTTATAGCAGAGAAAGTTCTGGGTTGGTCTGTCTACCTTGAGCCATTTAGAAACTGAACTGGCTGGAGCAGTTTGCAAGATTTAGGCTGTGGGAGAATGGCTCTGGTTCCTTTTCAGCCTAAAGCAATTACCCAGCTGTTGGAAAGTTGAAATATTGAACCAAATTATGTTATCTAAGTTAAAATAAGCACCACTGAGAATAGCTCACTATATATATTAAGGTGCATGTATTATGCAAGAGTTGACATTCCTATTTCTCTATCTTATAAGTCAGCCTTGGAATCTTAACTGAAAATAAACTCATTGTTAGCATGTTTTTTGACTATTTGTTTTCATTGGTTTATATCTATATGTCTATATGTCTATATATCTATATATCTATATAGATATATAATGTTTGCACGTTCCCAGAGCCATTACCCTCTAAGACTGGAACTTCCAGAAACACCCTTGACAAAGTCATCAATTAAAAAATCTCAATATACAAAAAATACATGTTGTGAATGTAACAAACTGTGGAGTTTGTCCTAAAGCTGACAATATGCTTTTTTAAAAAGTCATTTACTCACACATGGTTTTATCTCATCCATACTGTACCCCTGTATGTACAGTCATGTAATATAGCATCTTAAGTTGACAAAATAAAGTTTTAGCAATGAATTACTTGCCCAAACACATACTATCAGCAAGTGATGCATTCCTTTGCCTTAAATAAAGGGGAATCTCCCTTCCCCTTTCTTCCGACCCTGCTTCCTTCTCATTCTAGTATTTATTACCATTTGATTTATACACTTTTTAATGGTCTGTTTTCCCCTCTAAAATGTGAGTTATACTAAACCAGGGACTTTGTTTTGTTCAAAGCCCCTAAATCGAGTGACTGGCACACGGCAGACCTCGATAATTATTTATTGCTTAACTATAATTATGTTAACTGCCCAGCTAGTTTCACTGTTTCATACCCAAGGCAGCCTCCCTTCAACATCTTCCTCTTTCTGACCCACTAATCTGCATTCCATATCAGGGAAGATACAAACTCCATTATCGATACACACCAATTCTTGGGACCCTTGTATTTGAACTAGAAATTTTATAGTTGACTTGTTATTCAGAATAATTTAACAAATATTTATTGCACACCTGTCATATGCTCTTGGGTAAGAAACAATGACCAACCCACTAATAAAGGGTAGCAATTTACCTAAGAATCTTGAAGCCCAGGAAAGGTAAATATTGTACTTGTGAAGCTCTATGTTCAGAATTATTATGTACACCTGAGACTAATACAATGTTATATGTCAATTTTGTAAAAGGCCATTTTTAAAAACATTATTAGGTCTGTCTAGTGTATCAGAGCAGAACATTGGCTCCCTCTTCAAACTTTCCTTTCCCATCTTTCTCAGTTGTGACTACTCATTTCCTTAATCCAGATTTCTAGACATTGTCCTAGATTTCTCTTTCCCCCATCCTCCAAATCCAATCTCTCTGCACAGGCCGTAAACTCTATTTACAAAACTTATCCTGAGACCATTTGCTCCTCACCAACGTCACCTCTGTAAATCCGAGCCTGAGGACCACTCCATTTGGTTAGACTACCAGCGGAATTTCCTAAATGCTTTCCTTGTCTTCCTGTTTCCCACCTAGCAGCCAGAATGGGCTCATGAAAGTGTAAATTACTGATCACTCCTCTGCTTAAAACCCTCAATGGTCCCCCCACCCCACTAGATAATCCATTTATTACAAAGGACATTAAGTGACACAAACAACAGCCAGATGAAGAGATACATAGGGCAAGGCCCCTAACAAAGGAACTTCTGTCCTTCTGGAGCTTGGGGCCGAGCGTGATAGCACCAGGGAGGGTTCTGCTTCCCCAGTGAGAAAAGTCTCCAGTGGTTTCCTTATTTAATTCCTCTCTTAGAAAAACATCCAAACCCTACCTTAACCAAAAGTCCTACTTTATTGGATCCTGATCACAAGTCCAATCTCCTCTCTTAGGGTTTTCCCCTTTATTCATATACTCTAGCCACACCGCCCTCCTTTCATTTCTCTGAGCACAATAAACCCTTACCTGTCCCAAAATATGTGTCCTAGCAACTCCTTGTCATTTAGGTTTCAGTTTAAATTTTACCTGCCCAGGACCACTTGATTTAAAGTGGTCCCACTTCCTCCACTCACAGTCAGAGAGTAAGTCACATTCACTCGCTGAGCACTGCACCGTTGCCATCTAATACTTTCTTCATCTGTGTGTGCGTTGTCTTATTTCCTTTCAGTAGAAGGTAAACTCGATGAAGACAGGGACTTGTCTTTATCAGCACAGCAGGGTTTCTAACCGGGTGGAACACAACAGTGGGCACTCGAGAAACATTCCTTGAACGGACAAGCCTTTGTCTCACCCTTGGCAGCTTATGTAAGATGACAGTCGTCTCCCAAGACAGCTTCAGCTCACTGTGCCCCATTCCCGTTCTCCCCATCCCACAGCACTGCCGCAGCCCACAGGCAGGACCAGGGGAAGGCCTGAGGTTTCCCTATTCCTGGGCGCAGTTCAACAGTTCAAAACCATCAGGTAAGGGACAAAAGGAAGGCAGAAATAAACACTCCTGAAATGAACTTAGGAAGAGAGAAAGAAACAGTTCTTAAGATCAAGCACTTTGGGAGTTAGGAATGTTAGAGAAAGTACATGTGGCCGGAAAAAAGTGTTCAGAACGAGGGAGGAAAACTGAATCAGAGGGAGGCGGGAGGAAGAGCTCCCACCATCCTGCAGGGAGTCAGGCTCCTGGACTCGGGCTCCAGGTTCCGTCCTGGACAGACACTGACGCGGGGAGCCTGGTGGAGTGAGGTGGGCGGGGGCGCGAGAAAGGACGGTCCAGAGACGGGAAAGACGCTGGAAAGAAAAGGGAAGGACGGAGCAGAGCAGCACGAACGCCGCCTCGGATCTCGCCGGGGAGGCAAGCGTTAAGGGGAGGCGGGGAGTGACGCGCTTTGCGTCTGGAGCGGCTCCTTGGAGTCCACGGCATCCAGCGCCCGAGCCTCGCCTTCCTTTCTCCCTCCGCAGACATCGAGACACAAAAAGAGAAGCGGCTCCTGGACCAGCGAGGGGACCATGACCGAGACCACCAAGACGCACGTCATCCTGCTCGCCTGCGGCAGCTTCAATCCCATCACCAAAGGGCACATTCAGATGTTCGGTGAGCGCCCCCGCCCACCCCCGAGGCGGCTGCCGCCCCGCTGCTTTCCCCGCGCCGGTGTTTTCCGGGGCGGCCGAGCCGGGAGGGGGGTGCGTGGCGTGGCCC